GGGTGGAGCTTAGCCTGTCAATCAGGTCGCAACTGGATGGCTTCATTTGGAGGCGCTAAGGAGATAAATAGCTCACTGGAAGCAGAACACATGCTGACTCCCTGGGAGACATTCCTGCTGACGAGACACATGGAGCTACACTAGTGCTCTGGAGCTGGAGGAGCCACTAGACCCCTGCCAGCGCTGAGATGCTTATACAGCCACTGGATCCACAAGACTTCCCACCCACTGGCCTGTGATCTTACTGCATTCGGAGTCATTGCATGTGTTTCGTGAGTCTGAAGAGGAATTTATAGGTTGGTATTGGATATATGGGCTAATATCGGACTTATGGACCTATCTTGGGCTGGGCTGGGATGTTTTCTCAATATACAATTGTTCTTTTATATTAAGTGCTTTCTTACACACATATGAATCTCCCTGGATTTGTTTCTCCAGTCTACCGTACTAACACATGAAGAAATTGAAGAATTCAATGAACATTCTCAGCTGGAAATTGATCAAACATGCAATCAACATGCATTGATAATTTATTATTGGCAATTGGAATGCACAAATTGGAAACAAAGAAGAAGGACCATAGTTGGAAAATATGGTCTTGGTGATAGAAAAGCTGGAGATCACATGTTAGGATTTTGCAAGACCAATGACTTGCTCATAGCAAATACCTTTTTTTAACAACACAAATGTCAACTATACACATGGGTTTCTTCAGATGGAATAAGCAGAAGCCACATTGACTACATCTGTGGGAAAAAAACAATGGAGAAGCTCAATATCAGTAGTTAAAACCAGGCCACGGGCTGACTGTAGAGCACACCATCAATTCTTCTATGTAAGTTCAGGTTAAAGCTGAAGAAAGCGAAAACAAGTTCACAAGCGTCAAAATATGACTGTGAGTCTATCGCACTTGAATTTCAAGAAATCAGATTTGTTGGATTAAACACAAATGATGGAAGACCTGATGAGCAGGGGGAAGAAACAAAGAACATCGTTCATGAAAAAAGCAAAAGGTCATTAAGAAGACAAAGAATAAAGAAAGATCAAAGCGGATGTCAGAAGAGACTTGGAAACTTGCTCTTCATCACAGAGTAGCCAAAACAAATGGAAGAAATGATGACATCCAAGGGCTGAATAGAAATTTTCAAAGGGCAGCTCGAGAGATAAAGTCAAATATTATAATGAATTAGAAACCCAAAGGGAAGCCAATCTGTCTTGGAAAAAGTACAGCCAGGGTGCTCCTTGGAGCAAAGATGGGGAGACTTCGTCTCGCAAACTTTGGGCAGGCTGTCGGGAGAGGCCAGTCCCTGGAGAAGGACACCATGCTTTGCGGAGGAGCAGTGCAAAGGGGAGGGAGCCCTGACCAAGAAGAATTGACACCGTGGCTGCAACCTGGGCTCCGGCATAGGCACAGCGTGCGGAGGCCGCGGATCACGCAGCAGTTCGTCCTGTGGTGCCCGGTGTCCCTACGGGTTGGAGCTAGCTCGGTGGCACCTAGCAACAACCTCATGGATGACAAGGAGAGCCCAAAATCCATTTGCAGGGTTCCCACGTGGATTCCCTCTGACCACTGACCCTGGAGGCGAATAGCCTTGCTATCAGACAGCGTGCCTTGGAGAGTGGATTAATACAGATGTAGTTAGGCTAAAATTTTGAACCATTTAAAAGAGGGTCTAGTTTTTATTATTTCCTGCTTTCTTTTGGATTGAGGTTTTTCTCTATTTTATTATTGTTGTTGGTTCTTGTGTGTTTGTTTTTTCTTTATATGAAATCCAGGATAGATAAATCTATAGAGAGAGTAACTGGATTTATAGTCTCTTAGGGTTATGGCAGGGGCAGTTGGGGAGAAATGGGGAGCTAATCATAATGAGTATAAGAATGAAGGAAGTTTTAAAAATTGGTTGGGATGACGATTGCATAATGTTTAAAATATGTTTCCGCCAGTGAACTGTACGATATGTGAATTATATGTCAATAAGACCGCTACTTTAAAAAGAGAGACAGACAAACAGAGAGTCACATTTCACGTTTTCTCCAATGGCTTTAGTTGGAGACTCCAGCTAAGCTGTATGTTGAGCCTGGCTCTAGGGGACAGCACCTGGTTCCGGACATTGCGGGTGGGGGCGGGATGCATTCTCAAGGTTGAGGTGAGGAGTCCCTTCGAATCAAGTGCTGGCGTTGGGTCCGCTTTGAAACAGTCGATGATATGAAGCTATAGGCTACTTTCTCCTTCTGAAGGCCCATCTCCTTCCAGGTAGGGGAAGGCTTTCTCAAAAATCACCCGAGATCAAAACCCAGCTTAGTCAAGGCCCTGGTCACCCACGCATGGGACGGCCCTGGATGCAGATCCTGAGCTGGCCCCAGAAGCACTCAGGCCGGGCACAGTCCACCACGCCCCAGCCCACACCCCAAGAGCTCTTTACTCTTTTTGCTCCCATGTCAGCATCCCCTCCCCCACCCCGCCCCCCAAAAAAGCCCAGTTCTCACTACTTGATTTCCATGGTCTGGTTTCTGTGAGGCCTTCGACACAGTGGTGGGGAGAGAAGGGGCAGGGATGGGGGTAGAGGGTGAATTGTAATGTGTAGAGCCGGGTTCACTAACAACTCTTATAATAACCTTGACTTTCTATTAGCTGTTCTTCCTGAGAACAATTCACAGTGATAACAGAATCAAGTTTGCCCTCTCGTCAACCCCGGAAGGGGGTGGGGAGAGATTCTCTGTTCTTCACATGAAAGGGAAACACGAGGCCCAGAGAGACCAAAGGACTGTTCACGGTTTCACGACCCAGCTGAGCAGAGAGCTGCGGAGGGCTCCCATCTTCTTCATCTCGACTCGGATTCCGATGCACGGAGATTTCACGTCCCTCGGTACCTCCCTAATGTCTCGCTTTCCCATCATGGCACCTCTGGATTGGAGACTCCCTCTCGGTGCCAGCAAGGAGCAGAGGGTCCCCACTCTTGTGAGAGCCCTCACAGCCCTCCTGCCCCTTCTGCTCAGAGATCTAGCGGAAGGAAGACGCTACATAGGCTGTGGCGATGAACTTCTTGCCGCTTCCGTAGGTGGATTTGTCCCAGGTATAGGTCTGGATGTCCAGGGGGTATCCACCCAAGCTTAAGTGGCACCTGTCGGGGGAAGATCAACGAATCAGAAGGGACCTCCTTGCCCTGTCCCCAGGCTGAAGGGGCCAAGCCCCACTCAAAAAGAAGAGGGCTCTTCTGTCTTAAAGGAGAGTTGCCACATGCCTTCCTCAGCTCCCCCTAGGCAAGGGGCCTGTCCAAAAACTAGGGCTCGTTCCCTATCTTTTAAAAGAGCATAGCTTTTCATCTCTCCCAGCGCATAAAAAGAAAGAAACAAATATAAAAACCCTTGATGTCATTTAGTTTGATGCTGACTCACAGCGACCCTATAGAACAGGATAGAGCTGTCCCTTTGGGTTCCCGAGACAATAACTCTTTATGGGAGTAGAAAGCCTCCTCTTTCTAATGGGGACTGGTTGGTGGTTTCAACCTGCTGACCTGGCAGTCAGCAGCCCAACACAAAGCCCGCTGGACCCCTAGGGCTCAGGAACCTCAATCCAGGATGCTAGAGCGGAAACCACCCCCACCCTCAAAATTAAATATCTGCCCAAGGAAATGGAAGGCCCAGATGCTCTGGCTGTAACAGCTAGGAGGGGCCTCCAGAAAACCAGGCGCAGTCATCCCAGGCTATTATCTGGGGCTCCAGGGCTCCACAGACAGCCTCAGTGACCAAGCAGGTGAGGGCCAGGGGCCCAACTCCACTTTTCTACCACTTGCAGGAGGTATCAAGTCTTAGGGGGCCATGAAGTCGGTTAGACTGGTGCTCAAAACAAACTCACTACCGCCAAGTCGAGTCTGACCCATAGCGACCCTGAAGGTCAGGGTAGCCCTGCCTCGTGGGTTTCTGAGACTACAACTCTTCTTGACAGGAGTACAAAGTCTCATCTTTTCTCCCACAGAGCAGCCAGTGGTTTTGAACTGCTGACCTTGAGGTTAACTACCCAACTCCCAACAACTTTGTTTTCCAAGTGAGGAAACTGGGGCCCAGCAAAATGTGATTTGTCTGATCTCACGCAGCAGCATCTGGGTGTCCGGAATCTCCCCTGGCCAAGGACATCCGTGGCCCCAGCCCACACCCCAGGCCCAGCTGGCCCAGTACTCACAGTTTTCCTGGCCTGGTGATGAAGCACAGGGAGTAGAGCGCCAACTCAAACTCAGGGCTACTGCCGATGAAAGCGGAGCCCACTTCCTTATAGTAGCCATCCCAGTTGAACTGAATGGCCAGCACATCAGGGTAGGATTCCCACTGCAGAGAGAGGCAGACCGAGGGGTGTCAGAGGCAACAGTGAGGCACCATTTGTTGATGGTCCATGGGGCCCTGCGTAGGCTGTCTGAGGCGACTAGAGTCTCTCAATGGACGAAGTGGTCTGCCCTGCTGAGGTGCCTGAGCCTAGCTCCGCGGGCCCTGTACCAGGGGCTGACAGAGCATCGCCCTGCAACCCACCCAGCACTGAACTTCTTGCTCTTGCTGGTTCTCGGAGGAGCCAGGGAGTTCTTGTACTTGGAGTTGCCAGGCTGAACCTGCTAGCCACCCTAAGGCCATCCAGGCAGGGGTAACTGTGAGTCTTTGGTTCTCAAATCTGAGATCCTTCTCTTGTCCTTGCCCTCTGCCTCCTATTTGGAAGGGAATCCCAGCATCCTGACTGGCGAAGCCCCCTTTCCAGAGATGGGAAAGACAGAGTCCCTGTCCCCATCAGGGTGCTGGGGACCGTGGGTGAGAGACAAGGCTCCCTTGTCAGTTCCATGACTGTTTGGAACACAGTGGGGTGGGAGTGGGCAAGGAGTCTGGGCACTCCCAAGGCTCTCCCAGCCCATGGGCTCAGCACTCACAGGTCCATTATAGACGTGACTGTAGTAGTCAAGCAGGCCCTCCTTCTCCTGCAGGTAGAAGCGGATCCAGTTGTGGAAGCCAGTGACTTTCCCCTTTTTGATTTCACCTGTAACAACCCAAGAGTCCAGGGTCAATGAAGCTGGAGTACAGTGAGCATGTCCCCCTCCCGTGCCAGCCAAGGCTGCCTCCCTTCTCCAATCCCTGCCCACCTATCCTGCACAGGTAGGGGTCTCACCTCTCACCTGGAGTGTCTCCCACCCCCATCTTTCACCTTGAGAACACCCCACCCCTTTTGTCATAAGCCCTTGGGAGACTTCCTGTTCTCAGTTGACCAAGCTGACCACTCTGGGATGCTCTCCGTCATGTCTCTACGGGTCAGCCAGACTTAAGGGGGTGTGTATCGGTTGGAGAAAGGCCAAAGTTCTCTTGGAAAGCAGCGTATCAAGCACTGGAGGCAAGGAGCTATTCAGAGGCAAGCAGCCTTGACCCCAAAATGCCTCCACCCTAGCTAGATCCTTTGGAACCCCCCCAATACAG